AGGTAGTCCTGGTTCGACAACCAAAGCTAAAAAGTTGATCCATACTTACCATAAACAACTACAAAAACGGAATATTGGTATACCATTTCATCATTTACAAAGCACGTCCACCTAAAGAATACCTTCACTTATGAGTATTCAGATATTAAGCCTGGGCATTTGGGGGGAATTCTGATTAAAAAACATTAAGCAGCTGTGTGTCAGAGTTTCAGCAAACTGACATTCACTAATTATTTAGCACATCTACACTGAGCACACATAATATGTGCCGGTGCTGCAGTTCTCAACCTTTCAGTCTCAGGACCCCTTTACATTCTTAAAAATCATTGAGGACCCTAAAGAGTCTTTGTTTATGTGTAATATGTCTATTGATATTTACTGTATTGAAAATTAAAACAGAAAGCTTTAAAATATTATTCATTAATTCATTAAAAAATGTCAATCCATTAAAATTCATTAAAATACAATATAAATCCATTACGTATTAACATAAAGAACATATTTTTATGAAAATAACTGTATCTTCCAGAAGAGAAAAGAAAATTAGTTTGAAGAGTGTCACTGTTTTACCTTTTTGCAAATCCTTTTTGGCTTAATAGAAGAGAGCTGGATTATTTCATACGTTTTTGCATTCGATCTCTTGCAATCATCATACTTCATGTAGTTTCTGGGAAAATCCACTATATGCTTGTGAGAGAATGAGAATGAAAAAGGTAGAAAAGAAGTCTTATACTGTAATTAAGATATATACCTCATGTTTTTCTGCACATCTTAGAGATCCCCCCACCTCAAGAGTTCTCCCTTCCACACTTTAAACACTGTGCTAGTACCTAGTACCCAGTTATCACTCAAGATAATGAACAAGTAATGATTACCATGTCATGTGCTAGGTGCTGGGGCTACACAGGTGAACAAGAGTCCCTGCCCCTTAAGGAGTTTAGACTCCAACAGAAGACAGACAAATATTTACAAAACTGTGCTATTAGTACCACCATAGGAGTAAATAAATACAAGATACTATGGGAGGTTAGAGGGTACCTAGCCCAATCTTGGGAGATCAAAGAAGGCTTTTAGAGAAAATAATGGCTAAGCTGAGACTTAAAGGAAAAGACAGGTAAGGAATGTGAGTATAAAAGGAGAGTGAAATATTCCAGACATCGGGAGCAGCAAGGCACGGTAGATAGGCCAAAAATGAGAAAACGTATAATGTAAGTTTCCTGAGGGAAAGTTTTATGACTTGAAAGAGGGGACTGACATAGATTTAAGTTTAGAAAGGTCACTCTGGGTACGATGTAAAGAATGAGTTGTAGTAGAGCTACAGACAGAAAGGCTATTTCAAGAAGTTAAGGCAGGAGACAATATCAGCCTAACTGGAATAGTAATGGAGATGGAGAGAAATGGAGAGATTAGAGAGAGTTGAGAAGGAAAAACTGACAGGACTTTGTGATGGCTGTAGGAGGTGAGAGAGGGAGGGGCTGAGAATAATATCCAAATTTCTGGCTTACACAACTGGCTTGATGATGATACCATTCAGAGATTGAAAACATAAAAACAGGCATAATGAAAATAAGTAGTTGAGTTTGGTATATATTGTTTTGAGATATCTTTGAACATTTAGGACAGATATTTTGAAGACAGCCAGGTATGTAGATTTGTAGTCAGGAGTGAAAACCGAACTAAAAATTTATATTTAGGAGTCTCTAATATATGTGGAGGTACTTCAAAAGTGCATGGAACGAAAGATAATACGAAACTTTCCATTTTGAAGACCCCTCGTATATGGTTACTGAAGCCACAGGTATGAATGAGACCACAAAGTGAGAGTGTAAAAAGTGAGACAGGAACAAACTGAGTAGGACAAAACTCTGAGACACATGTACATGTATGTGACAGGCAGAAACAGGTCCTGGAAGGTAAAATAAAGAAACCAGAGGTGTAGAAGGAAAACTAGGAAAGTGTGGCTTCACAAATCAAGGGATGTGAATGCAGAAGACCGTGGTCACTGCATTTGAATGCTGCAGAGAGGTCAAGTAGATTGAACAAAGAGATTCTGGTAACTTTGCAGAGAATTTCACTGGAGTGGTAGGGGCAGAATCCAGAAGGTTGTTGAATAAATAACCCATTGAATAAAGTTCTTGGGAAGGTAGGAGGAGACAGAATCCAGAGAACAGGCAGAAAGAGATGGAATACAGGGAATAGGCAGAGATATGCACCTCAGATTGGGGGTGGGGGCACCTAATCCATTGTGACATTTGAAAGGATGGGTGTGGATGCAGGTCGGCTTATGAGTGTGGAGGCAGGAAGTTGCTGGAGTTCCTCTGATGGCTTCTGTTTTTTGCTGAAAATAAGTAAGGGAGAGGGTTTGAAAACATTAAACAAAATCTGAAGTGGCTGTCATGGAAAATGCGAAAGAGAGCTAACAAGGGAAACAAACATTACTTGGCAAAGCTGAAGACCCACTTAAGGTTGGACACTGTAAACATGTAGTGGAAAAAACCTACATGGTCTGTCCAGAATTTCAGATCAATTTTCTTTTTTGAACCTGTTTCTCAATCATGAGGTTAAGATCTAGGCTATATTTTATTAACAAATGTAACACTGTAGACAGTACAAGAGCAAGATCATAAAACCAACACAATTTTCTCTCTCACTTTTTCTCCATCCTCCCATAGAATTTGCATATCACACACACACACACTACAATATTGGCTATCAAACCTCCTATGGAGAAAGTCCCACAGGACATCATAATCTTATTACCTGTAACCTCTCACGTAACCTCCCATGTAATTTTCAATGGAAAGTAGTGAAGCTGTTCCTGTGTATGGTGGTTTGTACGACAGCATACCTCCTATGGAGAAAGTCCCACAGGACATCATAATCTTATTACCTGTAACCTCTCACGTAATCTCCCATGTAATTTTCAATGGAAAGTAGTGAAGCTGTTCCTGTGTATGGTGGTTTGTACGACAGCATGAACAAATCTCAGGTAAGGAACTTATTAGTATTATTTATGTTAAAAATTCATCCATTTCCAGAGCATAATATAACACAATTAACCTCTTTCAGACCCATTAACAGATCCTGCTCAAAGAAATATATCAATAGAGATAGGAGGCAAAGAATTTTTTCTTTATAGACTATATTATGCTAATAGTAGTATTTAGCTTAACTTAATATTTAAAATGATCTATATGTACCTAATATTTATTAAGCATTTACTATGCACTGAGTTATTAGTATATTTAACTCACACAAACGCCCCATTAGATTAGGAAGATATGTTATCCTCCCTTCTACACTATCTTTTCCGAAATAGCTATGTAATAAAATCTCCCAAAGTAAAATTTTCCTTTGGAATTTCAGAAATATAACACAATGATTGGTTGGGCAGATGAGTTGTAAGAGAGTTTATGAGCAATTCAGTAAAAATGTAGAGTTATGAAACAGCATATATCAAGACACAAAATAAGCTGTTTCCTTAGATAAAATTTCCTTCCTAAAAATTATTTGGAAATATTTCAAGTATACAAAAGAGTATAGAAAGTAATAATAATTGCAGATCCATGTACCCTCCACCTACCTTTTATCTCAACATTTTGCCACATTTTCTGCAGATTACTTTTGGTGGAAATAAAGCATTATAGATACAATCGAACCATTCCTCTTACATTCCCTTCTCTTCTTCTCGGGAAGTAACCATCCAAATATCATTTCCTTATATGATTTTTACAGTTTGAGTTCACATTTTTCTTATTCTTAAACTTCTACTTATGGTATACCACATACAGCTTCCTGCAACTTGCTTCCCCTCCAGTATTATGTTAATGAACTCTATCCATATTAATAACAGTAGCTTTAGTTCATTGATTTTCATTTAGTATTTTGTGCATGTCAGTTTGCGCAACAATGTAACTTATTCATCCATTCTCCTACTAGTGACGTTTGTTTCACTAATATAAGCTATGCTGCTATGAATGTTCTTGTGCATTCATAGTGGCTCATGATAACTTTATATATATGTATATAAAATTCCTTAACATGCAGTTTAACAGGAAAGACAATACATGTGCATGAACGAAGAGCCAAGTGAGGATCCTTTCACTAGAAAGCATTTGGGGAAGGTTCCAATGACAGAGCGACATTCCCGCTACAGTAGGAGATCACACAGTCTTAGCCTTTCCTTACTCTGCTACCCAATATTTTCACGTGTGTCCATTCATTCCCTCAACTAGAGTGTAAGCTCCACGAGGACAGAACCGGGCACCCACAAGGTGAGCAATACGAGTGTGGCCGTGGACAGTCTGCACTGGAGGCTGCAGCCGCCGACCTCTTCTTGGCTGTGCCGAGCCACTAGAAAGTGACAGCGCGAGAGAAGTGTCGCGGCGACCAGGGCCTAATTTCACTTTCCGCCCGAAAGTCTAGGAAGCCGATCGGGGCACAGACACCTGCCTCGAAGGGTCTTTTCACTTCACTCACAAAGCCGCCAGCCAGAAGCCCAGGCCCCCGCCCCGAAGACAGTGTCTCGATCCACCTCTTCGAGCCGCGCCTCTTTGCCTTACGCCAATTCCGTAAGGAGGCGCTGGGGCCAAGCGGGCGGCTCGCGTAGCTCCAAAATCTGACGCGAAACCGTGCGGGGCGGCACTGACGGTGGCCATCTTTAGTTCGGGCAAGACCGCACCCTCGCGCCCCACAGATAACTCCGTCCCAGTGTCCCCAGGATTTTCACCGACTAATGTAACGCGGTTCACTTTAGAGGCCGGGTTGAAGAAACATGGGAAGAGGCCCGACTCTCCATGACGCCGGAGGTGCCAAATCCGGTCAACTTAAACATGGCGGCTAATCCAGAGCAGCAAAACGGCGCTGACCCCGATGAAGTCATCTTGAAACGGAGCGAGGCGATGGGGCAAGGGCTGGGGTAATCTCGCGAGATCGAAGCCAGCCTCCGCTCGGCCGGAAGCCTCTTCTGAGGGGGCGGGGGCGGAGGAGGGCGCGGGAGTCTGGCGAGAGCCAGTGAAGGAGTCCGCCTGCTCTCGAGTGCGTAAGCCGGGCTGCGGCGCCGGGCGGCTACGCCGCGGAACCGGCGTAGGCGGCTTTGGAGAATCGGCGGGCTGGGCTGCGCTGCGCCGGGGCTGGGCGCGGAGGGGGGAGGGGATGTCGGTCAGTGTGAGATCCACTGCTGCTGAGGAGAGGAGCGTCAACAGCAGCACCATGGG